TTAACAAAGCTTATAGAAACAATAAATCCAAATATGTCTTGACAACATAGTATGTCCTAAGGGATGTCAATGGCCAAGTCCATTGACTAATTTCTCACCCAATGTCAAAAACTATGGCCACGTTTATCCTCGTGGCAAGGCTCACAACCAAGTTTCCCCTGGGTATAGGTTACCACCTATTATTAGCCAGTGACTATTAGTATGTATACCAAATAACCACTATCCAACTGGGGGTTCCACGAAGTAATAAGGGCACAAAATCTAGCAATACCATTTTCAATCAACCATATAAACCATCAAAATTACTTTATAATTAGAGTTCACAAGCCAAATCATATAACACTTTCACAAAGCATTTTAAATTTTCATTCCATCTTCAAATCCAGTAATGAAAAGGTAGTCAATGTCCAACCCGGGTTTCATAAAACAAAGCTCCAAGCACTACTGCTTTCTTTTCAAATACCATGTCATGCCATGCTTATCTTATATCATAACACATACTAAGTTTTCAAGACATCACGTTTTGAAATTCATAGGAAATAAAAGTACCACTCACCTACAACCAAAAGCCAAATCAGAAGCCACGCTGTTCGGAAAGCTTCATTGTCCTATCAAAGAGGCATCGATCGAATGTCATGCTTACGCGCCAACAAACAAACTTGACTTACACTCTACTAAGAGACTCTTTTTTTGTCAAAACGTCCACCTTATCGAATGATATTTATTAAAAAGGAAAAGTGATATTTAGAGTATGTTTATCGCATAAAGCTGGATTAGGCATTTACTACCCTTTTGGTTGTTTGAAACAACATAATAAAGCATCTCTTGTAATAGTTTGTGTGTTGATAATTTGAGAAATGGCTAGAGAAATGTTACATGAATTGTATTTTGCTTGATGGAATGAATTATGAAAGGTTATATGTATAGGTGTGTAAACCTAATCTACGAAATGGATTCTGAATTTGTTTATGATTGGAGTGTGAGTTAGGGGTCTTATGCTCACTGGCGTTATGATCTAAGCCCATTGAGAGGTTGTGAGTACGCATATTGTTCTTAGGACGTCCTTTTTGGGTCGAGCCGCTAACTAATATAGGTGGAGTCCTATCCCAAGAGGAATCTCAGTAGGCCTTGCCACGGGGTATTAAGTGTGGTCATAGTTCGATATTGAGCACTAGATTGATCAATGACTAGACCATTGATGTTGCTTTGACATTATTGCTTATTTGGATGTTCTTGATGTATATGAACTTGTGCGAAATAACATGAAAACATCTTTGGACTTTCATTGGTTCTCAAACGGGTTCGCTTTGTTTTGAAATGTTTATAAGTGTGCATAGCAGATGTGCGATCTGCTTAGAATAAATTTGTAAGACTCACTAAATGGTGGTTTGCTCATGTCATTCATTTCAATTTTTTTTCATCTGCATCTACCGACAAGTAGGATGGGAGCAAATTTCGACGAGGGCTTTTGGAGTTTGATTTTGGTATAGTTTGAGATAGTTGTATAAATGAAGTACAGTTACCTTTGTCAAGTTTAGTTTGATAAGTCGCTGGAGATATATGGTATAGTTCGTTATTTTGAGTTTTCTGGTTAGCTGGTGAGATGTATGTGTCCATTTTGATGGACCGCTATATTCTGTAAACGAGTACTGATCGGATGAAATTGTTGGAGCAAGTTCAGTGGTATAACGAAAAGGACATCGGGAGATCAAGAAACCATTTTAGTCCGTCGCAAATATATCGTCTCCAACACGAGGGCCACCAATTTGATCTTCTTGATGCTCATCTCCTACGGGTTGCCGTGCCTGCAGGACTGAGAATACAACAGAGAATCATATGGGGCAAAATTGTTGACCTCTTGCCTCTCATCTCCTGAGAAATACTAAAGTGCAATGCAAATAATAGAGAAAAGAAATGGGAATACCATCAAAAATGGTTCATTCTGTTTATCATATATTGACGTGGAACTTGCAATGGATCTTTTCTTTTTTGTCCCTTGGACTGGTTGAGGGCCTGAAAGACCATGGATTTAGCACACTGAACCGTCCAGTACCGGCATTAAATCGTCGGGCTAATGACCAGGTCCGAGGATGTTTGACCTCTTTCTACCCAAGCTAAGAAGGATGATTCTCCATCTGCAGCAATTGTCCAGAGGAAGATGAGAGAAGGAAAATGCGAAGCAACCGGGAGGGGCCTCTTAGGAATTTGCTTTGTGAGGTTGGCTGCTGAATCAGCCTTTCTTGGTCCAGAAAAGCCATTGTTTGACACCATGTATAACACAGGTGCTGAAATGATAGCTCTTGGGATCTCTTTTTCCCTAATCGTTAGCTTTTTGTTGACCGGAAGTGTCACACCCCACGCCCCGAAACCTACAAGGATGGGGGATGACACAACCGTCCTTCCATCCGAAAGATGCAGCCTCAAACTTCAACAAGAAATCCAACTCTCAAAGTCCCCATGACGTCGCTCTTGTTCTATTGGCTACTAACCAAGAAACCTGAAAAGATTTGGGAAAAAGAAAAGTGAGCAATCACAGCTCAATAAGTAGTGCGAATCGCTTCTAAGCAGATCGAGCAGCCACTATACATATATACAAAGCAATACTAAAACTTCATAAGCCAAACTCAAGATATAAAATACATATCGAATCACATAAGAGTTGTTTCATTTCAACAAGACTTTATATAATTTAGAAAATACCCATTTAAATCATCATAAACATCAATGGTCAAGGTCATTGATCAATCTCTATTAAAAACCACGTCAATGGTACATTCCATTGACCAATCTCAAGTTACACATCAACAGTCTATTCACACGTCGATGATCCATTCCATCGACTAATCTATTGTTCAATATCAAACTATGATCACGACATAAAACCTTATGACAAGACTACCAAGATTCCTCCTTGACAAGATCTCCACCTACAAAACCGATGACTCGGCCCAAAAGGATATTCTAACCCAGTGTGCATACCCTCAAGCCCCTCAATAGGCTCACAGCGATATTGGACACAAAACTCACATCCTCCAATACTAGAAATCCAAACTAGAAATCAATCTCATAAACCAAACAATTAACTTTTCACAATATAGCTCATTCGCCGTTTCTCAAACCATTTCTCAAATCATTTATAAACCAATTTCACAAATCGATATGTATAACATTTTGTAACATTTTTGATAAAACGTTTCTCAAATCCTCTTAAAACTCATTCCATAAACCAATTCGTAACATAATACATATATATCCATTCGCAATATTTTTCTTAAAACCATTCTCAAATGACCAAGGAGTAGTAAATGCCGATCCAGGCTTTTATGCAATAGCAATGCTATTTTAAGTTCAATATATATTTCCAGGCGTGGGTTTTATAAAACCAAAGAAGAGATAGTATCACTCACCTGGAATCCCAAAAATCAAACAACCACGCTCACTCGAAACGACGATCTCGTAATCCTAACAATTAAATGAGAATCTACGTCTAAACCAAGTAAAATACTACAATAACTACGAAATGGTTAAACGGCGCTTCAATGCTAACAAGACAGCTCAAAGGCACCCGCAAATCGCTCATCCAAAGCAATTATCCAAACCGTCCGCAACAAGGAGTTTGAGCGCGAAACTTGGTTGCACCAAAAATCTTTCCATCAAACCCCGTTCCAAACAAACTTATAGCCAGAAGAAAGTCCATTCAAAGAACTACAAAATTCCCAGCTTGGCCGACCCAAACTCGGGCCAAAAAGCAACGAAAATCGGCATGGAAAGCTGCTAGTCGTGCATTGTTTACCACGCACGCTCAACTTCAAAATTTCTTTTCGAGTAAACCGTAAGTCCAAATCGAGTTCCGTAAGATCCCACGACCTCACAATACTCTAAAATACCATATCTATATATATACGCCACTTGAAAACTCAAAAATCAGATTACGCAATTTGAATTTCACCAAACTCCGAAATTTGAGCCCTAACCCGAAAAATACTTCGATTGGAAGAACGAGGGGCGCGAACACTTACCGTGCATTGTGATACGAAGTCAATTCGGCTTGGAAAGGTCCCACGGCAAAAACCCATCTCTTTCTCTTTCCCTTTCCCTTTCCCTTTCCCTTTCTTCCTCTTCTTTCTCTTTCTTTTTCCCCTTTTCTTTCCCTTTTCTCTCTTCTTCTTTTCTCTCCCGTGGGTGTGTCGGCCCACTGTCTTTAAAAGCTGAAGGCTACCAATTTTGCTTCTTATTTTTTCTTTTTCTCTTTTTTTTCTTTTTGTGGGTCCCACCATTTTCTTTTTGACTTGGTCAAAAATCTCAAATATTACGGGAAGCAGGGCCTTTGTGCTTGGAAAAAGTGGCTATACCGTGTGCGAAAACCGCGTTGCGTGCCTAGGGCCAAATTTGAGTGGGACTAATTCTATAATTAATCCTATGCCCGTTTACTCGCCCTGTGCATTGTTTCTTTTCAAGGATAGTGAGATCAGTCTCCCAGCTTCAAGACTGCTTCTTTGATGCTTCTTGGAAGCCATTGAAGCTCAATTTCCATGAATGGACCCCAGAAATGAAAAAGACTTGTCTATATAGATCTCAACAGCAAGATGGGGTCATCAACACCCACGGAACGGTAACACGACAATTTTCTGTCCTTGAAAGAGACAATTCTTTGTGTGTGTGAGAGTGATTAGTCTAATGACGAAAGTTAATCGTAGAATTGGGCCCAATCAAGCAGGGTGCACGAGACAGATTTTCCCACTCGATATGGCAAGTGTCCCAATCCCCCTCGCCCCTCGGCGTATTCGGAAGAGCATAGCCCCCTCTTGATTTCGCTTCCCGCCAAATTTTCCATGACTAATATGCTGGACTCAATTCATATCCGTTAGAATAATTAAATATTAAATCACGCATTCATTTAACAGCTTAAGTTTTTAGAACAGTCGATAGTGGTCCCACAAAATCTCACAATATCATCCTCATCACTATTGATATTATGGGGGGTTGGGCGACTGCTAATAATTTAATGATAAAAGTGTTCTCAACACTGCCTCTTGGAAGCGGCCATGGCAGTTTCCTCTGCTAAAACTTCCGAGTTGGTTCTTAAAGCTTCTATGTAAGTGGCAGCTTCCTCTGCAGTTTCCTCTGTTAAACTTCTGAGTTGGTTCTTAAAAATTTGTCTATAACAGCTCTCACCCACAAGAGGAAGCGGCACAGCCATCTCTCACAACACACATTCATTTGTTAAGCTCGCGATAGAGCAACGCAGTTTTGATCTTTAGAGAGAAGGGAAAACGGAGGATAATGGTGTTCAGATTTGCCACCTTCGATCCGGCCCAAGATCCCGATGATTTCAACCCGGCTTTTCCACCTACTCCGTCATCGTCGCCCTCAGTAACACTCTGTCAGCCGTGCGAATACACTCGCACTTTCACCAAAACCATTGTCAGGCGACTTGTTGCTGCCGGTGCTTCTCTTGTCTTAACAGCCCCAGCCCTTGAATTGCGTGATGATGAGATTCGAGACCGATACGCAGAGACGCCATTTCATAGTATCAATTTCGATGTCCGTCCAGAATTTCACCAAAGACAACTTAAAGAGTTTACTTTGAAGGAGTTGAAGGTGGCTACCCGAAATTTTAGCGACGAGAAACTTATAGGCAGAGGTGGATTTGGCGATGTCTATGAGGGTCAGTTAGCTGATGGCTCTCTAGTGGCAATCAAAAGATACAGACGAGGCAGCACTCAAGGTTTAAGAGAGTTCGAAACAGAAGTAATGGTTGGCAGCATCATACCCCTACGGCACAATCTGCTTCCCTTGCTCGGATTTTGCAGATCCTCAGAATGCGGGGACTTCTTGCTTGTGTCCCCCTTGATGGTCAATAAAAGTGTGGACTGCTGCTTGAGCAAGCGGCCCGAGACACGACCCCTGCTGGACTGGCTTACCCGCAGAAAGATAGCCGTGGGAGCTGCGAGAGGGCTGTCCCGTCTGCATGATCTGAGCATTGTGCACCTATTTATCAAACCTTCAAACATTCTGTTGGATGAGGAATTTGAGCCTCACATTGGAGACTTTGGGTTGGTCAAGCTAACCGAACGCAGGCGTGGTGAATGCTCGGTGGATGGCATCGAGGAGGCACCTGTACTTCCGAGGAATGAATCCGAAGCAGGATCCCACGGTGAAGATTCCTATTCCACGAATAAAATATATGGCACATATGGATATATGGCGCCAGAATATGCGAGGGAGGGGAAATACTCGGTGAAGACCGACGTCTTTGCATTTGGAATAACGCTTCTGGAACTCGTGACCGGACAAAGAGCTACTCGCGTAAATGGCCGGTCTGTGATGTTAGGCGATTGGGTAAAACGGCTTCTGGTAGAGGGTAGTTGGGAAATCGTAGTCGATTTCAATCTGCAGGGTGAGTATGACCACGAGGAAATAGAGAAAGTGATCAAGCTGGCTCTTTTGTGCACACATCCAGTCCCAAGAGAACGACCGCACGTGGCACAAGTAATCAAAATACTTGAAGGCCATAGCATCGAGGAGGCATGGGAGGAGTATCATCACTCGAAGGAGTATCTGATTCCGTTGATGCAACTTCCAACCCTTTACCAGACTGGGGATGTCTCCTCGTCGCTGCTCAGTCCCGAAGAATTATCCGGACCCAGATAATCTATTTTTGATGCAATGATACGAACCATGTACATGGCTCAGGCTTTTAAAAAGAATCCTCGAGTGTTTGATATGTCACAGGAGAGGTGTACTATGCTGAAGACCACCCGCCACTAGAGAAACGTCGTCGCTTATGTTATAAAATTGCTTCAGTACTGCACGTGTTCTTTGAATACGTTTCTTTTTCTTTAGTTTGTTTCAGTTAATAAAATCATGTTATCCTAGTCTTTAGGAAGTAGTTAGATATGTTGTTGGGATTTTCATTCACGATTCTCTCACTTTCAGTTTGTTTTAACTTTAAATTTAAGATTGAGAAATCAAATAGTCGTAGTTTTCCTTGTTGGCTGCATAACCGTATACTTCTTTTCTTCTTCAGCACTCCAATCCTCTGTTTTTTTCATCTTTAAAAACTCACAAATTGGTATCAGAGCACTCTTCTTGAGGGATCTGTGTGTGAGTTTGACACGGCATGGAAGCCGAAGCCAGTTTCTCATCAATTGCTCCGCCGGTGTTCGACGGAGACAACTACCAGATTTGGGCAGTACGCATGGAGACATACTTGGATGTCTTGGATCTTTGGGAAGCAGTGGACGAAGACTATGAAATTCCTACTCTTCCAAACAATCCTACCATGGCACAGATCAAAGCGCAAAAGGAGAAGAAGGCGAAGAAATCAAAGGCAAAGGCCTACTTGTTTGCTGCAGTCTCATCCACCATCTTCACTCGTATCATGTTCTGAAGTCAGCAAATGAGATATGGGATTATCTCAAGACCGAATACGAAGGAGACGAAAGGATCCGAAGGATGCAAGTGCTGAATCTGGTACATGACTTTGAGTTGCAGAAGATGAAGCAGACCGAATCCATTAAAGAGTATTCTGACAGGTTGCTTAACATTGCAAGCCGAGTCAGACTACTCTACTCTTCTCTACCAGAATCAAGAATTGTTGAAAAAATCCTTGTAACGATGCCTGAAAAATTTGATGCCATGATTACATCCTTAGAAAACACTAAGGCTATGTCAAAAATCACTCTGGCAGAACTGTTGAATGCTTTACAAGCGCAGGAGCAAAGAAGAGCTATGAGGCAGGAAGGTGAAATTGAAGGAGCCTTACCTGCAAAACATCATGAAGCTGACAAAAACAAGAAGAAAAAGCAGAAAAGCCAAGAGGGAAATTCGGTCTTCCCTGCTTCGAGTAGCAACAAAAGCAGAAATGGAAATTTCAAGGGTAAATACCCTCCTTGCCATCACTATGGGAAGAAAGGTCACCCTCCATTCAAATGTTGGGGGAGACCTGACGCCAAATGTTCCAAATGCAATTAGCTCGGACACAAGGCAGTGATATGCAGGAATAAAAATCAGGTGCAGGAAGCAGATGCTCAAGTTGCAGACCAAGAAGAGGAGGATCAATTGTTTGTAGCCACTTGCTTCTCAAGCAGAGAATCAAATGTGAGTTGGCTGATAGATAGTGGTTGTACAAACCACATGACTCACGATAGAAGTCTTTTCAAAGAGTTGAAGCCCACGGCAATCACAAAGGTCAGTATAGGGAATGGTAACCATATTCCGGTGAAGGGAAAGGAAACCATTGTCATCTCAACAAATTCAGGTACGAAGTCAATTTCAGATGTTCTCTTTATACCTGATATTGACCAAAATTTGTTGAGTGTTGGTCAGCTCATTGAACAAGGATTCAAGGTGTTTTTGAAGATAAACTTTGCCTCATACAAGATGCAAATGGAAAGGAAATCGTCGAAGCAAAAATGAGATGCAAGAGCTTCTCATTTGAACCAACCAAGGAGGAGCAAGCTGCTTATTCCATGGAGGAGAATGTGACTGAGACTTGGCACAAGAGACTAGGCCATTGTCACCTTTCAAGAATGTTGTTGATGAAGAAAAAGGAGTTGTCAAATGGTTTACCAGTCTTTGCAGACCATTTATTGAATTGTCATGCCTGTCAATTCGGTAAACAAAATAGAAATCCATTTCCTAAGTCAACTTGGAGAGCCTCTCACAAGTTGCAACTAATCCACACAGATGTTGCTGGTCCTCAAAGAACTCAATCACTCGCAAGTAGTCAGTACTACGTCATTTTCATAGATGATTTCAGTACAATGTGTTGGATATTTTTCATGAAGCATAAATCAAAAGTGGCTGGCACATTTTGGAAGTTCAAGAAAATGGTGGAGAAGCAGAGTGGCAGCAACATTCAATGCATTAGGTTTGACAATGGAAGAGAGTATACTTCAGAGCAGTTTAACAAGTTCTGCGAAGAATCTGGCATTGAGCACCAACTCACCGATCCCTACACTCTACAGCAGAATGGAGTCAGTAAGCGGAGAAACAGATACATAATGGAAATGACTCGATGCATGCTTCATGACAAGGAGTTGCCAAAGAATTTCTGAGCTGAGGTAGCAAGCATTGCGGTTTTCTAGTAGAATAGATTGCCTACCAAGGCATTAGAGGACAAAACTCCATTCGAGGCATGGTATGGCTATAAACCTTCACTCAATTTCGTTAGAGTGTTCGGTTGTATGTGTTTCTCTCACGTTTCACAGGTCAAGCGTGATAAACTTGACAAGAAGTCAGAACCGGGCATCTTCGTGGGTTACAGTTCTTCCTCCAAGGCCTACAAGGTGTAGCAACCTCAAACGGGGAAGATAATTGTCAACAGAGATGTGTTCTTTAATGAAGATGAGAAGTGGAACTGGAAATAGACACAAGAGACATCCACAAGCAAGCAGAAATCATGTCTTCCCTTCCAAACAATAGAAGAGTGAGCAACAAAACAGTGGCAAGAAGAGTTGGAAGATGATCCACCGATCCATGGAACAAGACTGCTCTCTTATATCTATCAGAGATGCAATGTGGCCATTTGTGAACCTGCAGGGTGTGAAGAAGCTATTAAAGACCAGAACTGGAAGAGGAGTTGTCGATGATAAAAAAAAAAAAAATAAGACTTGAGAGCTTGTTGACAAACCGAAGGATAGAAAGGATATTGGAGTAAAGCGGGTGTTCATAACCAAGTTAAATGCAGATGGTTCCATCAACAAGTACAAGGCTAGACTTGTAGTTAAGGGTTATGCACAGATTTTTGGTGTTTATTATTCAGACACCTTTGCACCCATGGCTAGATTGGACACCATAAGACTCTTGCTAGCAATTGCAGCTCAAAAGGGTTGGAAGGTATTTCAACTAGATGTAAAATCTGCATTCTTGAATGGTATTTTGTAGGAAGAGATCTATGTTGAACAACCCAAGGGATTCGTGGAACAAGGTGAAGAGGAGAAGGTCTACTTGCTCAAGAAGGCTCTATACGGCTTGAAACAAGCACCTAGAGCATGGTATAGCAACATAGATGAGCATCTGTCAAGCCTCGGATTTGAAAAAAGCATGTCAGAGGCTACTCTTTATGTGAAACATAAGGGAGATGATCTGCTTATAGTCTCTCTTTATGTTGATGATCTCTTAATCACATGTGGTAATGCCAAGCTTGTTGAAGAGTTCAAAATAGAAATGATGCAGATCTTTGAAATGACAGACCTTGACTAATGGCATACTTTCTGGGAATGGAGATTAAGCAATTGGAAGATGAAGTTTTCATCTGTCAAAAGAAGTATGCCAAGGAAATTCTCAAGAAGTTTCGTATGGAGGATTGCAAGGCAATGGCCACTCCAATGAATCAAAAGGAGAGCTTGAGCAAAGAGGATGGGATTGATAGAGTTGAAGAGGGTTACTTTCGAAGTCTGATTGATTGTCTAATGTATCTCACGGCATCAAGACCAGACATTTTATTTTCTGTAAGTCTCTTATCTCGTTTTATGCATTGTGCTACTGAAATGCACTTAAGAGCAGCAAAAAGAGTAGTGAGAAACATTAAAGGAACAATTGAATTTGGTGTGAAGTTTAAGAAAAGCTAAGATTTCAAGCTGTTGGGATTTTCTGACAGTGATTGGGGAGGTTAGGTGGATGATATGAAAAGTACCTCTGGTTATTGTTTTAGTCTTGGCTCAGGAATTTTCTCATGGTGCTTTGAGAAGCAGGAAGTTGTAGCACAATACATAGCAGAAGCTGAGTTCATAGCAGCCACAGCAGCGGTTAATCAGGCAATTTGGCTAAGAAAAATTTTATGTGATTTGAACCTGAAGCAGTGGAACAACACGGAAATTCTTGTTGATAATCAGGCAGCAATAGCAATTTCTCACAATCCAGTTTTTCATGGGAAGACTAAACATTTCAAAATCAAGTTTTTCTTTCTAAGGGAAGTGCAGAAAAAAGGCGAAATTGCACTTGTTTACTGCAAGTCAGAAAATCAGTTGGCAGATATTTTCACGAAGCCATTGCCTGTAAGCAAATTTGAAGATCTAAGGAAGAAGCTCGGGATTTGTAGCACCTAAAGCAAGGAGGAGTGTTATAAAATTGCTTCAATACTGCACGTGTTCTTTGAATACGTTTCTTTTTCTTTAGTTTGTTTCGGTTAATAAAATCATGTTACCCTAGTCTTTAGGAAGTAGTTAGATATGTTGTTGGGATTTTCATCCACGATTCTCTCACTTTCAGTTTGTTTCAACTTTAAATTCAAGATTGAGAAATCAAATAGTCATAGTTTTCCTTGTTGGCTGCATATCCGTATACTTCTTTTCTTCTTCAGCACTTCAATCCTCTGTTTTTTTCATCTTTAAAAACTCACAGCTTATAATGGGTAGAAATTATTGCCAGCAAGGACATAACCTACCTGCCTAAGTTGTGATAAACCACAAATTCCGTTGTTTTCCCCTATTTTTATTCTGGCTTCATAGAAACCCCACCATGAGGTGGGTACTATACAATACTATTGTCTTCCCTGGTCGACATTTGCCGCCCTTAAGTCCACATAAGGGAAAGGGGGTGGCCGTGAGAAGGACGGAAGTCTGAAGAGTAACCATACATAATAATAAAAGCCCACCAAGAGCTGGTCACAACGTCTCAGAGTACAGAATTTACACAAAAGCATATCC